GAGGGAGGTGGGGTGTAACTGATTGATAGGGGGTGCTGTGGAGAGGGAGGTGGGTGTAGCTGATACAGGGTGCTGTGGGGAGGGAGGTGGGGTGTAGCTGATTGATAGGGGGTGCTGTGGAGAGGGAGGTGGGTGTAGCTGATAGATAGGGGGTGCTGTGGGGAGGGAGGTGGGGTGTAGCTGATAGGGGGTGCTGTGGAGAGGGAGGTGGGGTGTAGCTGATAGATAGGGGGTGCTGTGGGGAGGGAGGTGGGGTTTCCTCTCCCTTGGGCAGGACTCTACTAGTCAGATTCTCCTAGCTTCTTTGTCACCTCACCCCTAGGTTAGTTTTCCCTGAGAAGCAGATTAGGGTCCCAGTTGTCCAATGGCACAAGGCAGGCCATGGTAGAATATCTCGGGCCTCCATTCTACCATCTTCCTTCTACATGGAGGAAATTGAGGCCTGGAGGGACAAAGTGACTTGGCCATGTCACACGGCAAGAAAGGGGGCCAACTGTAGCCAGGGACTCGTGCACATGTGCAGAGCTGGTCTTCACACCTGCCGCCTCACTCTGGCTTTTTCAGCCAACTGGTTCCAGGCCTGAGAGACCTAGGGTAGCCCCATGAGGAAACTCCTCGGACCAGTAGTGGGGGTGAAAGGTAGGAGCCAACTGTGGGCTCCCGTGTCCGAGGTTGGGAGAGGCAGAGGGCACCCCTGTGAGTGAGAAGTGCTGTGGAGAGCTGGTCAGTGTGAGGGCCATACTCTCTGAGAAGGGAGAAGAAGCCTGGCCAAGACGTCATTTGCTGGGCAGCAAAGGCAGAGTGGTGGATCAGAAGCTTTGGCGAGAAAGCCAGCCATCTGGAGGTTTGAAGCTGGGAACTATGGGAAGAGTGTCAGTCCACACCATGGCTTTTCATCCAGGGCCTCTTCAGAGCCGACTATTGAACTCAGCTGCTCGGTCTGACCCGTGAGCAGGAGACAGCTGTTCTGCCTGCTCTGCTTTCTGATGGTTTCCTGTGAGTCAGATTGAGCCTCTGGGGACTGTCCTTCTGAAGGGGTCCAGCCCCCGTCCTACTCCTGCACTGGGAGGGGGCACATTCCTACAGGCCCCCAGCCAGTCTCCCCAGCAGGCTATTTACAGTGAAGCCACGGGCACGTCTGATGTCTGCCTGCTCAATATAACTCAAGGTCAGGTGACTGAATGGCATGTGCCCTGGGGGGAGCTCTGGCCTCAGTCCAGCTGCCTGCCCTGGTCCCCTTGGCCTCTAGATCTGGAGGGAGGAAGGCTGGGAAGCCTGACTGGGCTACTAGCAATTCTGTATTTTTCCAGTCTTTCTGTCTCAGGGTCACCTCACACCTCTTCCAGAACCCTACTTCCTGCCACAAACCAAGGAGACCATGCTGGTGCCTGCCTCAGAGTTTCTGAGGTTCTCACAGGTTTGGCAGCCCCAAGCCGTGGAAGGGAGAGTGGCCTCCCCACCTGCCTTCTGGAGCCCCTGAGGGTACTCTCGGCAGAGGAAACAGGGAACAGGGCCGGGGAGCTGGCAGAGCCTAGGGGACATTCCTTGGTGTGGCATCTGCAGGCACAGAGAGCCTCATGGTGGAGCCAACGGCTTCATGGGTGCGGGCACTCCTGTCTCCTCCTGCATACCAGTGCCCGTACCCATGAGGAGTGTGTGCTAGGACCGATAAGGATAAGTGCTGTGACCTTGGAGGCTCAGGGCCCCTGGACTGCTTGCTTCCAGCAGTGTGTTGTCATTATGGGGCCCTGTGATACGTTATCTAGAGGAACTGCTAGAAAGAGGCAGAACGACAGTTGTGGGAGACTGTGGGCCCGGAGGTACCGCGCTGAATGTGTGATGCTCCCTTCCTTCCTCGCTCTGCGTCAAGATGGGGGCGTTACCACTCACTTCCTCATAATCCCCCTCATCCCACCTGTAGCTTTTCTGGGCAGGGGGACCTTCCCCATGGCTACTGGCTGGGGCATCCTCCCAGTTTAGAGAACCTGGTCAAGAAGGGATCCCACAGCAGACCTCCACCTGTCCTGTGGGCACAGAGGCACAAACCCGACACCGCCTGAGTGGTTTACAGACACACACCAACAAGTGTTGTGGCAGCTCCCACTGTACCCCCTCCCCCAGACCAGCTCTGTCCCTGGTCAGCCATGTGCTTCCCTTTGGTGCCGGAGACCAGCCAGGGCCAAACCCACAGTCTCCCCCAGCCAAGAGCTCTTGGGCTGAACCTTGGTTTCCTGTCTCCCTGCTGTTGTTTTCCTCTCTTATTAGATCCCATTTGGGGGCGTGGCAGAGGGGGCTGAGCCTGGCCTGAGGACAGGGAGGAGGAGGAAGCAGCAGAGGATCCAGGGTCCTAATGGGGGCTGCTTGCAGTACCAGCCCCAAAGTGGTGGCAGCAGAGCGCAGACACTGGCTGTGGGGGTACCTGGCCCTTCAGCCTCACTTACATGGTCACCTTGCCCCACCCATTCCTGAGGCTCACAGGACCTAAGTGGGCCGATGCTGGCAGGAGTGGTTGGCCAGAACCACTGTGGACCCTGGGCCTTGGTCCTGTAGAAGGTTGGGCCAGGACATCCTCCTGAAAAGAAAACCTTAGCCCAACCTGCCCAGTAAGCAGAGGGGGGAAGCCTGCCTTGAACGGGGAGCTTCCTTGGTCCCTGTCCAGAGATTCCAACCAGGTGTACCCCCAGGTGCCTTCTCCCTGTGCTCATGAGTCACCCGATGCTCCCTAACTTCACCCACTCACCTGGGACTCAGGTGTTGGGGTTGGGGTGCCCCACGTACCTAGCCACCACGCTCCTCCACCCTTGATTGTCACCTCTTCGTTTTCGTACTTCCACCTCCAACTTCCTCCATGGACACCTCTTTCCTGGCCCCTCAGGGTCTCCCCTCCTGGGGAGCCTCGCTGACAGCCAGCTGCTGTCCCAGCCTCAGCTTTTGTGTTGATGGTCGTCCTGGAGACCCTAGTGTCAGATTGCACTGGCGGTGGGCTGTGCCCCTAGCACCGCCACTCCATTTCAAGGGCCACTGCTGGTGCTGGCCTCTTCCAGAGGGCTTTTCTCCCTCCCTGTCCCCACCCTCTCCCCGCCCTCGGCCCTGCCCGCCTTCTGCCATGTGTGGCTGGCTGTGTGCAGCTGATGGAAGGCAGACAGGACCCCAGGGAGGGTCCTGAGGTGGGGGGGAGGAAGGGAGGGGCAGGGACCTGAGCAGCAGTGCCAGCTTTGCCCTGCTCCCCCCTCCCCCAGACTCCATAACCCCCCACACCTTGTCCCTCAGGCCACTCCCTGCCAGGGCCTCCCAATGGCCTCTCCTGGGAAGGAAAATGAAGTGGATGAACTGTCAGACCTCCCAGGTTGAGCTCCCAGGGACGCCTCCTGCCTCCCTGACATCAAAAGGCAACTCAGGGAAGAACTTGGGCGTCTTGCAGGCGCAGGGAGGAGAGAAAGGAAACCGCTGGCTCTCAGTGCCAAAGCCAGCGTCGCTGGGGCTGGGCATCTGCAGGGCCATCCTCTGTTGGCACCTGATCAGACCTGTGTCTGGTCATGCTAACCAGCAGTCCAGCCACACCCCAACCAGTGAGAAGAGACCCCAGCCCGCTGTCTGGAGCCCTTCCAGTCTCAGCACAAAACCCCAGTGAGTCATGGTAGACTGGAGGGGGGCTGCAGGGAAACAGCCGGCCTGCGGCCACTACCCTCCCCCCCCCCCCAGGGATGCCACAGACTGAGTGAGCAGGACAGGCAGCCACTGTATAGATGACCCACTTTGAGGAGGGGGGCTTGAAGGGTGCAGACCACAGTGAACACAGGAGAGATCCTGAGTGAGCCAAGCTGAGGGGAAGAACCCCCTCTGGTGGCCGTGGCCTGAGCTGCTGTCTGAGCTCTAGTCTGGCCTCAGAGCCCCTTCTCCACTTGGCTAACTAAACAAAGTGAAGCTGATTAATTTTTGTCCTTGGAATTTTTGTCTTGGCCTCCCAAATGTCATCTGTGGCCCCAACCAAACTCACTTTGAGAGGAGTTCAATCAGAGCCTTTGACAGAAATTGGTCTTGTCCCTGGGCCTTGATGCTCACCTGGTATCTCCGCACCCCAGATAACCGAAGTGGTTACTGTCAGGGTCTCCTCCTGGGCCGTCTTAGGATTGACTGCTGCCTCCACCCTTGGCAATCGTAGGAGTCGCAGAGCCTCATGGGGCTGTTCTCGGCTGTCACCCACGAAGCGACAGTCGGGAGGTGAGATGAGGAGACTCCAGTTGGGCCCTCACCACGGCTCACTGTCAGGGCCACCTGAGTCCCAGTGTGTAGCAGCTTGGTGTGACAACGAGGAAAAGACCGACAAGAGACAGAAGCAAAGCAAGTTACTGGGGGCAGAGAAACCACCTCTGGCTGCCCCTCCTTCTGTTCCCAAACCAGGGTGGAGACAGGAACCAAGCAGCCCTTGCTGTGTGCCAGGCCTCGGGCAGAGCATCGTTTAGTTTCTATTTGGTGGGCCCATGTTTTCCCCCAAGGACACACCTGAGGCCAGAGGGGGAAGCCCTGGAGAAGCGGGAGAGAGCAGGGTCCAAGTATGAGGTGGGCAGAATCAAGCTGCCTGGTGGGGCTCAAAAGAGGTGAGGCAGGTCAAGTGGCACCCCTAACCCCTGCCCTGCCCCCCCTAGATGCCGCCATGCTGCCATTGCCAAGTACTTTGGGGATGTGCCCCCCACCTGCACCCGAGGCTGTGACCACTGCCAGAACCCCACAGCCGTACGGAGGCAGCTGGATGCTGTGGAGCACAGTAGCACCTGGGTCAGGACCTACATCGGGCCCTCGAAGAGCAATGACTTGGACCCCGAGCTGTACGAGGGAGGCCGCAGGGGTTGCAGAGGCTTTAGCAGGTGAGGGGCGATGAGGCCGGGACCCTGCCTACTGTGGAGAGTCATCAAACCAATGCCACCATCCCATCCGCCCTGGCCTCCGGTTGGACCTAGACCTCATGGCGAGCTGAGAAATCTGGTGGGGGACAATTTGCCAGAGACCAGGTTTGGGGCTGCTCACACAGGTATGATGAAGACTCCGGAGGCAGCGAGGATGAGGGCCGAGATGAGGCCCACAAGCGGGAATGGAGTTTCTTCTATCAGAAGCAGATGCAGCTACGCAGGGTGTGTGTGAGAGGGCCAGGGGAGGAGGTCTGCGGGTAGTAGGGATGTGGGTGACCCCTGCTGCTGCCCACACCTTTAGCCCCTGGTCTAACCTGGAAACTGCCCTATGGGGGGGCACCTTACGGGCTCTTCGTGACTCTTCTAGGGCAAAGACCCTAAGAAAGAAGAATTTGTACTCCCAGGTGAGGACAGGGTTACCCCGGGCTCGTGGGCTGTCGGGGTGAGAGATGATGGGCGGGCAGTTGGAGCAGGCCTCACAGATGGTCGTGTGGAAGTGCCCACCCCTCTTTCTCTAGATGAGGACTGTCCCCTAAAAGAAGCTTCCAGCAGGAAGATCCCCAGACTCACTGTGAAGGTATGAGGTGGGCACATCCTTACCTCCCCCCAACTCCCCTCAGCCTCGGGTCTCATGCAGTCCACTCCTTCTCCTGGACAGGCCCGAGAGCACTGTCTCCGGCTCCTGGAGGAGGCGCTGAGCAGTAACCGCCAGGCAGCAGGTGCCCCTGAGAGGTGAGTGTCTGGATGGTAAAGGCTGTGGGCATGGCCAGCTCTCTCCAAGCTTTCGTCCCTTTGGAGACCACAGGACCCCCACCCCAGACCTCTCCCCTGGCATGTCTAGCTACCCCCTCCCCAAATTGTGTCCCATCCTACTCCTAGGAGAAGTGAGACCTCACCGCGTTACTAGGGAGCAGGGTTAGCCACATCTGAGCAGTGGCCAGTGGTTTCTGATGCCATTCCCGGGGTCCCCAGGGAGGACCTGGCAGGAGCTCAGCAGGGATCTGGCTCAAACCTGCCTGATATCTGGCTCTCCTTCCCCCACAGAGTGGACCTCCAGGCCCAGGCTGTGGAGCTGGAGCATGAGGTGTTTCGGAACAACAAGGTGGCCAACCTCTACAAGGCCGGCGTGCTGAAGAAGGTGGGCCTGGGGCTCAGGCAGCCCCCAGCCTGAGGAGCCTGACTCCTCTCCTTTGCCAGCTGATACTGTGTGGACCAGAACTGGTCTAGTGTCCAGTTGCCTGGAGCCATGGGCCACAGAAACCTACTTGGGGGAGGCTGGGCCAGTTTTGGGGAGAAGCTAGTGGCCCCTATGTCCCTTCTGTCCCTATCCTAGGTGGCTGAGCTCCATAAAGCCTCCAAGGACGGGCAGCTGTACTCTGCTGTGGGAGGTAGAGCCAAGAGCAGCGGAGGCCAGGCTAGGCCCCCAGAGCCCAGTGAGCACGACATCCTGCCAGCCTCCCAGGTGTACTCGGTGCGTGGTGACCCGGGTCCCCTTTGCCCACTCCTGGCCTCAAACCCAGGGGTGCCCAGGGGAGACTCACTCACATCCCCACTGCCAGCCACATCCTGCTTCCTGTTTTCCCATCTTCCTGCCCACATGTCCAGAGTCCAGCCCAGTGGGGCCATAGCTGGACTAGCCCATGAGTGGGCCCCCAGAGGTCTGGTAGTCTAATCCTCTTTCCTCCTTGCAGCTCAAAACCAAGCGGGTGGGAGCTGGCTTCACCAAGGGTGCCTGCATATTCCAGACAGCCACGGAGCTCATGGAGAGGATGCAGACTGAGACACCAGCCCTCCAGCCCCTTCAGGGGGGCCAGCAGGAGCCCCCCAGGCAGCTGTGCAGCCTCCAGGCTGAGGATAGGGCTGAGCCCCTCCCTGAGCCCAGAGGAGCTGACCCTGGAGGGAGTGCTGAGAGCTGGAGGCCCTCCCCAGAGAAGAAGGCCAAAGAGCCCTCCAGGGGCAGCCCCCTGACCAAGGCCCGCACCAAGAGGAAACGGCAGCTCCTGGCTGAAGCAGCCCGCAAGGACTCTCAGAACATCGCCCGTTTCTGCCAAAGGGTGGAGAACTCGTCAGGCACCCCACCGGCCCCGGAGCTGTTTATAGGGGAGGACAATGGAGCCCTAGAGCATTTGGCCACCCCTCTGAACACTGAGGAGCCCCCCAGGGATGGGCAAAGGTGAGAGCATGGGTGTGCTGGGATCCTCCACAATACCACATTGGCTACCCGGGTCAAGCACAGGGCTTGTTCCTGAGGCAGCCTACGGGCAGCCTGGCAGCAGGAGCACCTGGAACGCTGACTTCTACTCTTTCCTGGCCAGTGCGCGTCCACACAGTGACCAGACGCCCCCTGGAGCCCTACCCACACCCACACAGGAGAGTCAGAGGGGCAAGCGGCCCAGACCCCAGCAGGTACGGTAGGACCAGGCCCCACCAGAAGGGAGGTGGCATGAACCAGGCCACTCTCGGTGTCCCAGTGCATGGCTGAGATGCTGCTCATAGCAGCAGACACGGCTGGGCTGCGGGACAGGAGAAACCACATCCATCCATGTCTCTAGTACAGCTGAGGGACAGGCTGGAGGGACCCGTAGGTGCAGAGGACCAGTCTTCCCGAAGTGAGGGGAGAGGCCAGTGAAAGAGAGCCTGGGAGTGACCCTCCATGGTGTCTCTGTCCAGGAGCCCACAGACAGCCTGGCTCAGAAGAAGGCTCGCTCCTCAGTCAAGCCCTGTTCCTCCACTGAAGCCACGGATAGCATATCAGCCAGGGCCCCGGATGTCATGCACCTCGCAGTCTCCGGCCCCCAGCAGCTCCCAGGCCCACACATCTCTCTGAAAGAGACGGCCAGTGTTGTGGTCAAGAGCCTCACCCCTTTCTACAAGCAGGGCAAGTTTGCGTCCAAGGTAAGGGGCCGGGGGTGCTCTGCCCATCCCTGGCCCGGGAGACCTGGGAGGGGTGTGGGAGCCACTCCAGCCTTCCCTGAGGTCGGCCACTCCCCCACCCTCTGCTGTGCTAGGAGCTGTTCAAAGGCTTTGCCCGCCATCTCTCACACCTGCTGACTCAGGCGGCCTCCCCTGGAGGGAGCGGTGAGTACCCGAGCACCTGCACAGTCAGGATATGGGATGGGGGCTGTGCAGGGAGGAAACTGTCCTCACACCTCCCTCCCCTGAATCCAGTGACAGAGGAGGCCCACAACCTCATCAGGCATTTCTTCCAAGGCCGGACCCGGTGTGAGAGTGCTGGCGACTGGCAGGGCCTGGCTGGCCCTCAGCGATGACTGAGTGGCGAGTGCACCCCCTGGGACTGTGTGGTGGGGAAGGGAGAGGTGGGCAGACCTGCCCCCACCAGGGATCACCTTTTCTCAGGGTCTTCTAACCACACCTTGCCTTGGGGGTGGCTCCAGCCCACTTTTCTCTCTGCTTGTGAAGCCAGAGCCACCCGCCTCACCTGCCCCTCATGGCAGTGCTCCAATGAGAAGGTGGCCAGGTTTGCATTGGGGCTGAGGCTCCCTGCTGCTCACAGGCCCCCCCCAACCCCCCCTCTGTCCTCTGAGATGTTTGTCTGTAGTCTAGTCCCTGGCTGTAGAACCCGTGGGGACCGGGCCCTCCTCTCCTGCCCCCTGCTCTGAGGTGTTTACACGGGAATAAAGTCCTGCTTGTGCACACGCACACACATACACACACATCCCTCAGCAGCTTTATTCCAGCAGCTCCGCTCCCAGGACTGGGTTCCTGCTGAGGTTGAGTGGGGGTGGCAGCCTGGGCTGCGTGGGCATTTTCCTCAGACTGGGCAGCATCAGGTGTCTGAGCTGTCCCTCCAACGTAGGTCAGCCCCCCCGCAACACGTCCCCCCCACCCCAGGGGGAAATCTGTCTGCTCGCTGTCCCGGCGATGGCTCATGGCAGCCCCTGCCTCCCAGCCAACACATGATCCAGTCAGGCAGTGACATCCAGGTGTGCCCTGGCCGGGGAAGGACCCTGCTGGTCCCAGCCCCTCGCCCTTTAGTGGGTGCCGCTGTTGCTGTCCAGCAGAAAGGCGATGGTGTGCTGCAGTTCCTGGGCCTGTGGGCAGCTAGGTCAGTAGAGCTCGCCCTCTGGAGCCTGGCCGCTCCTGCCCCCCCGTGGCAGGCCTAGCTCAGGGCCCTCACCTGTGGCAGCTCAAACCAGATGGTGCGGGGGCTGTCGGCCGAGCCATAGTTGAGCTCCAGGCCCGGGGCCCCCTCCTCCTCCTGGGGGCTTAGCAAGTGGAGCCGCTGTATGTCATTGAGGGCGATGGAGCAGCAGGGAATCTGTGGGTAGGTGGGAAAGGGTCACCAGAGGTCCTGGTGGGAGGAGGGCCCCGGGCAGGGGCGGGGCTCTGCCCACCTGGGAGTTGGGGTCCATGAGGATCAGGTCCTGGCAGTTGAGCCCCAGGAGGCAAGGCCTGGGCAGGGTGAGCTCACTCACACGCAGCACGGTGTACACAGTGTAGCCATAGAGGGGCAGCCGGGTCACGGCCTCTGGAGATGAGAGGGCAGGCGTCTGACTGTGTGGGACTTGGCAGGAACTGCCCTACTTGTCCCCCAGGCGGGAGCAGCCGCCTCTGCAGCCCTGTGCCCAGACCCACCAAGGAAGCTGATCTGTGCGTCCAGGGGGCTGTGCAGATGCAGCTGCCTCAGCTCCTGCTCCATCTGGCCCTTCACAGTGGGCATGTGCACCTGGGCCTGCAGCTGCTTCGGCACATAAAGCAGCAGGTCTTGCCTAGGACACAGGTCAGGTCAGCTTGGCCCGTGGCCACTGATCCGGTGCAGGGCTGGGCATACAGTAGGCGCTAACTGAGCAAGTGGCTCCAGAGTCGGGTAGTAGAGTGGTTGGCAGGTGGCCAGCCTGCTCTAGGCCCTCTGCTCAAGGCCTCTTGGTGGGCGTTGGTTGGAGGGTACAGGTGCACACTCACTCTGAGGGGGGCTCCTTGGCAGTCCTGCTGAGGTGCTGTAGGGCCGCCAGGTGGGCGATCCTGGCGTCTGGCTGAGTGCCCACTAGCAGCTTCCCCTGGAGGTAGTCCCGCAGCACCTGAAGGTAAGCAGTAAGAGGGGCTCAGGGGTCCCGGGGCCAGGGTGGCCCTCCAACTGCCCAGCACCCAGTAGCAGGTGGCTGACCTGGCAGTAGTGGATGCCAATGTAGGTGGGATGGTCGAAATGCAGTGGGGTCTTCCAGCCCAGCCGCCAGCTATGCAGGCTCAAGTCCTGGTTCACCATCACGTTGTTGAGGTACTCGCGGGGCCGCAGGGGTCGAACCAGGTCACCTGCCATGGGGGACCCACAGTCCACAGCCCGCCCCACCACCAGTCACCCACGGTGTGGACTCTGCTCCTGTCGGGAGCAGGAGAGGATGTGGGGGGTGGTGACTCACCGTCTCCTTTGATGAGGAAGAGAGCAAACTCCTGCACTTCCTGAGGGTCCGTGACACCCATGTGTTCACACAACTCCGTCAGCACATCTGCAGTCACCTGGAGCGTGGACAGGCCGGGATGGGAGTGGGGGCTCTCCCTGTTCCCCCACTCCTACCCCTTGGTGACCCGTTCTCACAGTGAACATCTGGATGTTGGTCCTGTAGTCCACGTCCCCCGGCAGGTGAACCAGAAGCATGCGGACCACTTGGCCTTTCTGCGAGGCAGGGTGTGGGTCAGAATCTACCAGCAGATGGGCCCAGCGCAACCCCCGGGGATCCCAGGAGCCCATCCACCTGCACCCCCAATACCAAGAAGGCCTGCATTTCCCCAGGCTGGGGCAACCGTTGGCGCCCCCCGTATTTGACTGTGCGCTGGAGGTGCTCTTGGCTGCTCCGGGCCAGTTCTGTAGAGGAGCCGGATAGGGGTCAGAGCACCCTTGTAGCCCCCACTCCTGCCAAGCACCCACCTTCCTACCCCCCACCCCCAGGCACCTTGGCTCGGGCCTGCATCCTGCAGGAACTTGGTCACATAAGGCATCAGGGTGGTAGAGGGTGGGAAGAAGCCCGTGAGGAGGCTGAGGAAGCTCCAACCTTGGGCACTGTTTTCCCTGTGAGCAGAGTACTGGACTTCAGGCTGTCAATTCCAAGCATCCTAATCCAGTGAGGCCCTGAGCCCACCCCAGTAGGCACCCCCCACTCACGGCTGGGGGTGTCCTGTGACCTGCTTGATGACCTGGCAGTAAATCTCGTCCCTGAGGTTCTCCTCCTGGCAGAGCTGTGGAGACAGGAGGCACAGGGGGATGTTCTGAAGTCAGGAACACAGCTGGGGCATTGACACAGCTGAGGTGATACCAGCGACCCTCTCAGCAACATCTACACAGCTGGTCACTTTTTCTTCTTTGTCCCTAATTTTTTCTCTTTCCTTGGCTCCGGGGATTCCCCCCTTGCTGCTCTGCCACCTCATCTGTCCCATCATCCTTGCCAGCTCCACCTAATCTCCTGACCCTCCAGGCATGGCCAAGCCCTTGAGTCTCTGCACTCGCACTCGGTCAGCACAGAACTCCTGGGCACTTCCTCCAGTGACCTCTCCCCTGGACTTCCAAGCCCCCTGCTAGGTGGTGGTGTGCCGTGGGGTCAGTTCCGACTCACAGCAACCCTCTGTAGAGTTTCCGAGGCTGTAAATCTCTACAGGAGCAGAAAGCCTCATTTTTCTCTCACGGAGCAAACTGGTAAATTTGAACTGCTGACCTTTCAGTTAATAGCCCTGCACACAATCTGCTATGCTACCAGGGATCCTTAAGTCCCCTGCTTGGAGATGTGGATTTCAGACCAAACACATCCATAATAGACACCTCCACCACCCAGACCTTCTCTCCTTCTTATTCAAGAAGGTGGTGACGGGCTGAATTTGGAGTTAACCTTGGTTGGCCTCCCCTCCCCAACACTTCCCACTTCTCCCCACCAGTGCTGGGATCACACCCCCATAATCTGAACAAGAGAGTAATCCTGCTAACTGAAGCAGAACCTCTGTGAAGCCTTCAGCGTTTCCTTATATCTCAAAATCCCCAAATCCTCCCTGTCCCACCGCTCTGGTGTCCGGATGCTTTTGCCTGTGACCACATGGTTGGTTCTCTCCTGATTTCTGCTCCAGTCATGGCTGACCACAAAGCCCAGAGTCACATGGGAGCTAAGAATAGAATGATATGCATAACCACAGCCTGTATCCCCACTTTATTATCACGGTCAGTAATACCGGCACAAGACAGTATCTGCTGCTGACTCCTCCCACTGGGCTAACAGCACTGCTTTGTTACCACAAGGCCCCAGCAGGCAGCAGGTGTTCAGTACGTGTGGGGAGAGGGAGGGCACCCCCCACAGCCCAGGCTGGAGGGCTGATGGGCCTCCAGCTGTGGCACACAAAGGTCACTCACCTTTAGCAGCTTGTAAAGCAACTCCAGCTTGTCCTTGCCCCGGGGCTTAGGCTGGTCCCCCATGAACTGCATCAGAGCTGCCAGCAGGAGAGGAGGTAGAAGGGGAAGGCACTGGCACTCACCCAGTGCCCATTCACACTGCTGCTACCCTCAAAACCAGGGCTCCGAACTGGTTCATTCCAGTACGACCTATTGAGAAGGTTTCCTTCCACCAGACAGACTGATTCCCTGTCTCCCAGGTGATTCTTAAAGATCCCCAGATGGTTCTTTGGTATATGTGGGGATCTCCTTACAATGTTGATTCTGATTTAGTGTATCTGAGAGTAAAAGGTTAAGTTCTCAGCAAGGGGGCACACTGGAATGAACAGGTTTGAAGCTTTGCTCAAATTGTACATGCGCTAAGCAGGGAGCCATGCCCCAACTTTACCTCGAGGACCTAATGCTCTGGGAGATAAGGGTGCTCAAGGCCTAGAGCTGCCAGCTCCCTCCCTTCCTGTCCACCACAGATAGGAGAAGTGCTTGAGGGCCTCCCATAGAAGTTTCCAAATAGGCAGAGCCAGAAGGGGCCATGGATCCCAGAGCTTCAGGCAAACCACCCAGCCCCAGACATCCGGCCAGGCTGTCGCTCACCCTGGAAACTTTCCACAGCCTGCTTGTTAGTGTTCTCGTCACTGATACAGATGAGTGATTCTGGGATGGGTCCCTGTAGCCACAGAGATGGACCGTGGCCCTGGGGTCCACATAAAGCTGAGGAAGCACAGGGTCAGCTCCGCCCCACCACTCCCCCTCACCTTGGTGAACTGCACCAGGCTGGCTACAGCCGTCCCCTCGTCAATTCCACCTGTAGGGTCCAGCCTGCAGGGACAGAGGGACGACAGCCCTGCTTGCTGGGCCCTCCCACCCTCAGTCCAGACTTTGTAAGGGACAATGGTGGGAGCCTGGTGGCTGTGAGCCGAGAGGTAGGAGTGAGGCACTCACAAGGCCTGGGGCTTCCGGAAGAAGTGCAGGGCAAATTCCTGCATGGTGTAGCTGTGGGAATTGGCTGACAGAGATGTGTAGATTGCTGAGGGCAGACTGGCAGCCTCCAAGTTCTCGCTGTGAGTCGGGCTCCCGGGCTTCAAAGGGTGCTGGGAGCACAGAAGACTTGCTGCCACCAAGTGCCTTCTACCTGCCCCCCACCCCCCCAGCCAGACCCTAGAGGGGCGGGTAGGATAGCCAAGTGAATGGACACAGGGAGTCAGGACAATCAAGAGCTGTTTATTGAAGCAGCATCTTCTGTGGCCACAGTGGACAATTGCCCCAAGGGATGGCAGTCCCTGCCCTCAGTGGGCTTACAGTCTTGGGAGACAGGCAAGAGAAAGAGGACAGGGGGCGCCCTTCCATCAGGGACGACTGGGCACCCACTGGGCCTTGGGGCAGACTGTCACACCCTGTCCTTTCTTGATGCCCAGCTAGTTCTCCACCCCTGGTGTCCTCACCTCCGAGGCACTGGCCCCCGGAAGCAGCCCTGGCTCTCCAAGCTGCAGTGGCAATGAATTCCTATGCCGGCTGCTCCGCTGCTCTGGCAGGAAGTGGGGGGCGGCTGCTGGCTGCACCAGGTTGGTGGGGAAAAGTCCGGAGCGACCCCCACTGGAACCAAACTGCCAGCCTAGAAGGCAGCCACCGAGAGCAGCTCACTCATCTGGCCCCGCTGTCTGCTCCCCACCCCCGGTGGGGTGCCCTCCCTGGGCCAGCTCCCTGCCTGCCTCCAGGGATACCTGGCTCCAGAGTGGTCATGGGTAACAGCTTGATGAGGTCCCCACGGTGAAAGCTGAGAAGGCTGTTGTCATCAGTGAGGGAGCTTCTCAGGGCGATAACATAGTTGGAATCCTGGTGAGCAGATGGGTGAGTGGGCAAGGTCATGTGTGAATTCCCCACCCCCGTCCTGCAGACCCCTTGCTTGGCTTCACCCTCGGCCTAGCACCCAGAGTTCTAGGGAACCAGCCTAGATGTCCAGCATCCCACCCAGACATCGTGACACCCCAGGCCAACCCCTTGGTCCACACGTACCTTCTGGAGCTCACGCAGGCTCAGTTCCACCATGGCCTTGATGATGCCTGCCCGGGCTGTGTGCAGCACTAACTGCTCATTCTTCAGGGACAGTTCCAGGGTGGACACCCCTGGGCACTCCACACCCAGCACTTCTGCAAAGCTACACACAGGGCCAGGCATGAGTTAGGGGCCACTGTGCCCCCACTCCTTCCTGTCTAGCCCTGGCCCAGCTCACCTGTAAGAGCAGAGGGTCTTCAGCTGGTCGGGGTGGAGGCCAGAGCCTCGGGCCACCTTGAGTAGTCTCAGCCCCCGGTGGGACACACCCAACAGCTGTACATCGCTGCCACTCTCACCCTGCAGAGAGGCAGGAGGGTCACAGCAAGCTGTACCTTCTGAGGGACCCCAGCCTCACCCCAGGGACCAAGGCATCGCTAACCGAGACAGGGAAGATTCGGGAAAAGTAATTGGCCCAGTTGTCTCGGGCCGCCACCACAATGCGCTTCTTGACGCTGTCTTCAGCCGAGGCGATGGAATCCATGCCCACCTCCAAGTCCCCTGCAGGCAGAAAAGATCCCAGCTGGACTCAGTCTCCCCCGCTGTGCTCACACAAGGAGAACCCCAAGGTAGCTCCCACCACTCTCCAGGTAGCTTCCCGCCCAGGGCCCCCTACCCAGCAGGTCCTTCATTCTGCGACGCTCGTCCTGGGAGATCCGAATACAGGACTCAGCAAAGGTGTCTCGCAGGATCTGGGACAGATCCAGGCAGTCAGTCCAGGTCCACCTCATGGGGGAACGCTGGAGAGTCCCCTGGAGGACCCCCCCCCCCCGCCCCGTTGCTTGGGAGCCTCTAGGGATGACCTTCCTCCATGGTCCTTGAGCATGGGTGGAGCAAGGAGGGGTTGGGGCTTCTGAGCCCAGAGCTTGCTCACCCAGAACTTCCCACCTGCCCCTTCCTCATGGAGGGAAGAAGAGAGTCGAGAATGGAGGTACAGAGGCAGAGTCCCAAGAGCCTCACGGGGGATGAGGGATAAAGTACCAAACCTACCCCAAACCAAACCTCCTGTCATCGAGTGGGTTCAGACCCATAGGGACCCTTTAGGGCAGGGTAGAACTGCTCCTTAGGGTCCCCAAGACTATAAATATCCTTCTGGAAGCAGAAAGTCTCATCTTTCTCTCACAGAGTGACTGGTGAATATGAACTTCCGACCATGCAGTTAACAGTCCAGTGCTTATCCTATAGTGCCACCAGGGGCAGGTTAATGTACCAAACACCATTTCTGAAGCGCCTGTGGCGTACTAGGCCCAGGGGTTGCGTGTACTTTGCTTTTGTCAACTGATTTTATTGTCGTTTGCTCTTAGTGCCATCAAGTTGGTTCTGTATGGAGTCTCAGAGGAGTGACAGGCGGGTTTGAACCTCCGACCTTGCAGTTCAAGCTGACCTTGTGGTTCACTGAGTACCCTACATTGCCACACCAGGACTCATGAAATATACAATGAACTACTTCAGTGGCATTGGATCCATTTTGGGTTTCATCCTTATCTATAAATGAGATAGCAGGGCTGCTCCCCAGGTGACCTGCGGGGCGGACTCTCACGAAGATCCTCACATTGGGGTTGACCTGGCCTAGGAGCTCAGTCAGGGGCCTGTTCTCACCTGCTCACACAGAAGTCGGAGGCAGTAGGGATGACTGAAGTTCTCCCGGGGATAGAACACCTGGAGAAGAGGTAGAAGCACCAAGGTCAGCTGGACACTCCCCAGATTTCCCCTGGGCCCCTACTCATCCCACCTTTGCCCTCCCAGGCCCAGATTGGAAAACCAGGCCTGAGAAGTTGGCTTGGGGAGGCAGACCCGAGTGTTTGGATGTGGGGAGGGCTCTCTGGGGTCCCAACTGTGTCCCCCAACAGCCCAAGGAGGCTTGGCTGGCTGAGACCCTTAGCCTGTGCCTACCTCCTTGCGTAGGAACAGCTTCCAGGGTTTGCCAGTGTAGGAAAAGGACACACTGCCCGAAGGTGTCAGGAGCTGGGTGGAGATCCCCTGGTCGCCCATTGACTCCACCAAGACTTGGGGGAGGGCAAAAGGCATAGGTCTTGCCAGAGCCCAATGACTGGGTCCCAGAGGGCAGAGACCCTCATCTCCCAGAAGCCCCATCCCTCCAGGACCCTCTTAACCTCCCACCACCTTGTCCTGCCCCCAGCAGCCTTTTCTGCATCCATGTCCTGCCCTCAACCTTCCCAAGTCCTCTGTTCTCTATCACATAAGCCACAAATTTCAGTCAGTCTGGAGGTCAATACCCTGGAAGACTAGCCCTTGGCACTGGGTATCCCCCAGGGGTGCCGGCCTCACCCTGGGCAGGAATGAGAAGCTGGGGATCTTTGTCCCTGGCTCCAAAGACAGGAAGCAGAAGCTGACCTCAGATTGAACAACCAGTGGCTGCTGGGAATCCTGGCCCTGCCTCAAAAAGGCCACCCCATAGGATGAGGAGTCCTTACCAGGGGGCTCGGCTGAATGGGTCTCTGGGTTCCCAAGCAGAGGCAGTGGGGGTGCTGGTGGAAGTAGGGGTGCTTCCGGAGTGCGTGGGGTCTGGCCAAACAGGTTCCGAAGGGGGCCCTGCTTCTCCTTGATGGAGCTGGACGGCCCCAGCCTGATGGGGATCTGAGGTCGAGGGGCCACGGTTGGTGGGGACTCCTTTCCCGGTCTGGGAGACAGTGTCTGGAGGTTACAGAGTAACATGAAGACTGTGTCTGGGGGGGCAAGGCCACATGATGAAAACTGGAGGAGGCGGCAGGCTCCTTTCTCCCAGAGGCCTCAGATTCCTGCAGCTGAGAAAGGGCAGCATGGGGGTCCTCACCGAAGGGGGCGAATTGGTGCCATTGATCCCCAGCTTAGCCAGAGCCTCATCCTTGGGGTCGTTTTTCTTCAGAAATGATTTGGAGGGTTTTCTAGGAGCAGAAAGAGGTCACCTGGGGTCCCTGAGGTTGGAGCAACAATTCCTCCATCTCCTCCAGGGAGCCCACCTGGATGGCTGCACAGGTAGAGGCACGGGCGCCGGACGGCTCTGGTACATTCGGATGATGTTGCCAATCTCCCTGCTGGGCTTTGGCCGAGCGGTGGTGGGGTCTAAGCTGTGCACTGGGGGTCCCCTACCCTGAGCCAACGGTTGGCTGCTGCCAGGCCCAGCCTCCTCATTGGCAGCTTTGGTCCCACTCCATTTCAGTGGCTTCCTCACTACTGGCGGTGATGCTGCACAGAGAGAAAAGACAATAACAGTCCAACCATGACGAGGGGACACTGCACGGGAGCACCAGGACCCCTCACCCGCCTCCTCCCACCACCTGCTCTTGCTGCCTCCTCTTCTTGCTCGTCCTCCTCCTGTGGGATCAGGATCTTGGCCGGAGGCTTTGCCGTCTTCATCTTGATCTGCTGCTTCCCTAAAAATGCCCCCCCCCACATGGCCCTCTCCATGACCTAGTGTGTTCACCCAGCAGCCCCCCACCTGGCCTGCCCATCCAGGCAGCTGGACAGGTCACCTGGGCCCAGGCTTCCGTGTAGGCCCGCCTCCCCACATGCCCTCACCAATCTTCTGGAAGTAGTCCCGTTTCTGCTGGAAGCTCCTGAGGTTGCCAGGCCTCTCGGGGGCCTCCTCTGAAGGGTCCTCCTGGCAGGAAGGGGAGGTGGAGGTTTGGCCCTAGCCAGTCCTATTGCCACACTCACTGAGTGTACCCCTCAATCCCTGGGGACTTGGGGCTCAGCAGCATCTTCTTCCATCTTTTCTACTCATTGCCATCTGTGTCCCCCATCCCTGGAGCATGGGAACCTGCAGCCCCCATCAGCCTGGCTTCACTCACTGGCTGCTGGTCATGCGTTGGCACCTTCAGGGGGATGGGAGGTTTCTTGGGCTTAGGGGGCGTAGCTGGAGTGGAGACTGGGGAGGCAGGCCTGGTGGCCTCGGTGCGGCGCTGCTGCTGCTGCCGCATCTGCTGCTCCAGAGTTAGGGTCATGGCCTGGGTGGTCATCTGCTGGGCCTGAAGGGGAGGTGGAAAGAGCCCTGGTCTCGCCAGAAGTCCGGACCGCACAGCCCCCTGCCCCAGGGCCTGCACCCCCTTACCAGGAGCAATGCCTGCTGGTTGATGAAATTCTGCTGTTGGGCCGCCAGCTGCTGGGCATCCAGGGTGGGAAGGGCAGGCTGCAGGGGCTGTGGCGGCACCATCATGGCTGGGAGAGTGGCAGGTTGGGGAGGGCAGTGAGCGAGGTGGCCATGCCAGTTGCCCTCACCCACTGTGTCCACTGGCAGAACCTTCTCTTCCTCCATCAGTCTGAACTGGCTCTCCTGGAAAGGGGCCCAGGGCCCCGGATTTACCTGGCATGTTGGGGACTACGCCCATCGCTGGCATCATGGGGACAGGTCCAGGCATCATGGCAGGCTGGTATCCGGGCATCATCCCGGGGTATACTAAAGGAACAGGGCCCCCAGATTGGTCCCTCTAGGGCTCATGTACCACCCCTGTCTAGTCCCAGGCAGAAAAGAGCATGGAGCTCTGACCCCAGCTGCCTGGAAGAGAGCCTGCCAAGTGGGGGCTGGGGGTTTCTTTGTGCTGCTCAACCTGCACTCACCCATGGGGTAGTTACCCTGATGCATGGGCCCGATGGCACCCCCTCCCTTCATGCGGCCCTGAAGAGCCCGGCTCTGCTCTAGATCCTGGAGAGGCAAAAGTCATAGGTCAAAACAGAATGCATAGGAATGGTTGAAGGCAAAACTGATGATCTTCTCTGTAAAACTTAGTCTCATTTGTAATGCATAGTTTTTGTTTTGTTTTGTTTTTAAAGAAAAAGGTAACTGGTCACAGGGTCAGAGCTAGAGCCAGGGAGGAGTGGGAGAGGGCAGCCAGGCCCAGCGACATGTGGACACTCACGCTGAGGCCGGGGCTGAGGACTGGCTGGAAGATTTGGTCCAAGTAGCCATCCAGGCTCCCCGATGGCGTCTGAACCTCATCTGTGGAGCAGGAGAAAGTTGGCACCATCCACCTGGGCCATGGGGTGTCCTGCACCCATTCCCTGCCCTTGCCAGGACTCTTTGCATGCCCACTTCAGCCTCACCTGTGTAGTCCCTGCTAGGCAGTGTTGGGGCTGGAACTGGGGGCAGCTGGGGGGCCTGGATGCCAGGGGCTGGGGGAATGTCATCAGAGATTCTGCAGGAGAGTGGGTCCAGTTCACTGCCAGGCTGGAGGGTGGGGTGCTCAGGCTGGGCCAAGATCTAGTAGCTGCTTCGGGGCTGCCCCCATGGGCAGGGAGGAGGCTTAGATGGGAAGACGGCCTGCAGCATCTATGAACCAACCACAGGCTGTAGACAGGGCAGGGATGCTGGGTGGCACTTACAAGCCACGGGGAGTGATGGGGTAGCTGTGGGGGCCAGCTGGGTCCCCCAGGTCCTCAGTTTGGCCAATCAGGTCCAGCACGAAGTCGCAGCCAGCCAGGTCCTGCCAGACCTCCCCGGAGTGCAATGACACAGACCAGCCACGAGGTGGCACCTCCAGGCCTCTGGGGAGCACAGAGGTGGGGGTGGTCAGTGAGGTACACAACCATGAGCAGAGGGAAGGAACACAGGGCTGGCTGAGGAAGGGGCTGAGGAAGCACGTCCAGCATGAGAAGCCTCAAAGCCTTTCCAACCCAGAGCCCAGTTTCCTCTGCAGCTCAGACAGCTCTCAGCCCTTATGCACAGCTCCATGGCTCCCAGCCACGGAGAGGCCTGTTTAACTAGAATCTGGCCATCGGGGCTCTCAGCATCCTTACCTACAGTCTCTACTCCACACTCCCAACTGGAACCCAGAGTCTGGACTCCTTCACTTACCCCACCACCTCCCGACCCCATGCAGGCTGCAGCCTCTGGCCCCAGGAGGATGGGGACAGTGTGACAACACCCTATATACCTGCTCTGCAGGATCTGCCCTGCAAACTGCTCCCCAGTGGTCCAGGACTCCACTTCGGCTGAGTAGCACTCCTCTGTAGGGACAGAAAGGGGCAGATGAGGGGCAGCAAGCGTCCACCCCCTGGGAAAGGATGGAGGGAGAGCAAGGCCCCAGGTGGGAGCTGCTGGGCAGTGAGAGGCTGAGCAGGCAGGTGCAGGGAAAGCGAGCTGAGAAGAGGACCCAGGAAGGCAGGTGGTCCTGCAGGGGCTGGTCCCATAGAGATGTCACCGTTGAAGGTGAAGACGTCCAGTGTCATGCGACCCCTCCGCCATCCGGCCTTCCACTCAAGCTGGGTGGGTGGGTGGGCCCGTGCGGTCCCAGGGGCCAGCTGTACCTGCTCCAGGGCCCCCAGCAGCTTGTGCTGGCAGAGGGCCGCCATGCCCGTGGGGGCCTGGTCAGACACGAATCTGAGGAGACAGTCCAGAATTGTTGTGGGGAATGGAGCAGCCCACTGCACATCCCCCCACCCCCTCCACCTCCGCTGGCCAGGCCCTTACTTGAGCAGTGGCTTCTGCAGGGTGGCCATCGGGGGGAAGGCGCTGAGCAGGATGGCTATGAGGGCCCAGCCACGCTGGCTCTGCTGCTCATCAGGATTATGCCAGAGCTGAGCCACCAGCTGGCTGAAGAGCTCGTTCCGAATCCCCGGCTTCCGCTGCCCCTGCCGCACCAGGTACTCACCCATGACCTGCTCCTGCCAGGGCAGCAGGGACCCATCCCCCAGGAGCCTCAGCATCTGTGAGTCAAGACCAGAGGGAGGGTGTGGTGGCATCTTCATGCATTGATTCAACCCTGGAACCACCACCCTTGTCCCCGCCTCCATGTGTCCCTCACCACCCGATTGATGTCCAGGGCAAGCTGAGGACTCGCATCATCCAGCCGGGTCAGAGGTTTGATCAGGGGTTGTCCGGGGCGGGGCAGGGAGCGGTCCTAGAATGAAGAAGGGTGACATAGTGCCCAGGCAGGGGCTGTCCCCACTGACCCCAGAGGGACCACGGAAGCATGCAACCAGGAGAAGGGACAGTAGGGGAAACCACCTTAATTGCTCGTTTGCATTAGAAAATGGAAACTCATATATGCAGACAATTCAGAACACACAGAAAAGAATAAAGAAAATCAAACCGACCACTACCATCCCAAGGCCCCAGAAATAACCACTGCTGATATTTCTGTCTCTTTCCTCCCAGCCTCATTTTTTATGCAGCATAAATATATACATTCCCCACCCTCACTGGTTTTTTAAACAACATTGCATTCCGAATCTCAGTTTTCAAAATTGGAGTGAAATATACAAGCGTGTTTCAAAAAGTTCGTAGAGAAACCCCGTTATATTTTGATTCCATTTTCCCATGAACTTTTTGAATCTCCCCTGGTGTATAACTAACCGTTTTTCATCTCGGTCATTTTTACATTTCAGTGACATTATTGTCCTTTCCTGTCACCACTATTCGTTTCCAAAACTTTTCATCACTCTGAACAGAAGCTCCATACCCTCTCAGAAAGGACTCCGTATTTTCCCTTCCTCCTGCCCCTGAGAACCACTAACAAAGCTGGTCTCTATGCATTTGCCTATTCTTGATAAGTCATCTGCGTGGGATCACACACTATATATACCCTTATGCGTCTGACCTCTTTGTCCCAGTCTAGTTTCTTAGTTTCACCCCTGTTACAGTAGATACCATAAACCCTGCTTCTTGATTCAACATAACAACATGGGCAGTTTCCCTTTCAGGATATGCCTTCAATGGGAGGGCAAGCCCACAGAGACCATGAAGTTGTGGCGTGATCGATCTAAACAATATGATATTGTTAAACGTTCAGGGTTAATGGTTATTTTGGTGTAATTCAGATCCATCCAGGGCCCCAATTACTGGAGAGGGGGAGGGAAGGTGAGGAGAGGGGGACTGACGGGAAAGTCAACATCCGCCTGGCAGGTGTTGGGGACCCAAGAGGGTGGCCAGTACATGTTCAGTCCATGGCGGGTTTGCCCACCTGGAAGCTGCTGGCGACGAAGGTGGAGAAAGGGAAGTTGTCGATGTCAGGCGGGAGGGCCAGGGTGGGCCGGGCAGGGACTTCTGGGGGCTTCGATTCTTTGATGCTCTCTGTCTGGGTGTGCTGTTGGCCTGGGGGTGAGCATGGGGAGACAGGCTGGAGTACCCAGGTGAGGGACCCAGCTAGGGCCCTATACACTCCTCCCTATGAGTCAGCCACCAGCCCTACCTTAGAGAGAGCTGGAAGAATGGGCAGTGGGCTCAGGGAAGCCCAGAGAGTCACCAGGGCCACAGCACAGTAAAGGGACTTGCGGGGGGGAGATCGTGGCAGGAGGGCCCCCTCAACCAAGACTCACCTTCCGCAGTCTTCAGCATGACAGCCAGTTCAGCTGGGATTTCCAAGCGGCCCAGCTCCTAGCAGGGAGGACCAATTGTCCCAGGGACTCAGGGATAGGACATAGGGGCCCAATCCCCTCCCAAGACCAAGGGTTTTGATGCTGAACATTCAAACAAACAGGGTCCCGAGAGCCTCAGATAGAATCCAAACGGAGCAAGGCAGCCCCACCCCACATCCCAAGGAGTACAGTAGAGGTGCCTGAGGCATAGGACCTCAACATACCCCTGGTGCCCTTCCCTCCCCTTCAAACAATGCCAGGTTCAACAGATTCATAACCCAGTGTAGATGCCCTTCCAGCTCCCTGAACGCCTACCATGTTCAGCATTTTCTCCGAGGCCTTGATGCTGTTCCAGCCACACCAGTGACCAAGCTGGTAGGGAGACGAGGAAGAGCTGCTGTCTCCATGGAGAATCACCTTGAGTCTCCCCGTGGTACCTCCCCAGTCCAACAGCCCAACTACCCCCTCCTGCTCCTGGGAGGTCTGGCCACAGAGGTGGCGGCTGCCGGCCCTAGTCCTCAGAGCTCTTACCTGCTCAGCGCTGTGAGCGTCACTGCCTGTCTGCCCCGGTATCAGGAAGAAGGAAGGAAGAAGGAGGGGAAAGATGATCCCAGGGGGACAAAGTCCAGCCAGGGAGGGGCCAGCCAGAGGGGCAGTATGTGGGCACTGATCTTTGAACTGCTTTATGGTTTTCATATTACCGTCATCAGGCAAGAAGGGAGGTGAGGGGGGCCAAAGGGGAAGCTGAAGGGGATAGGAGGAGCCCCAGACAGGGGGTGGGTGGGGTAAAGAAAGGAATGGGCTCTGAGCCTACTGGCCAGGCAGAGGGGAATGACAGGAGTCCAATGGGTGGGGGTCTCTTGGGGACTCAGTCATGGCCCACTTGGCTGGGCACTGCCTGGGTTCTACCAATGTTGACAGCCCAGGCTGCCTGGATTTTACCCTGAGCTTCTTCAGCCCAGAAGCCCCACCCAGACTCCTTCACCTGCAGTCTCTGTCGTCTCAGGAGCAGGGGCCGGGCCACCAGTAGGATGGTGTTCAGCTGTCCCAGAGCTGCCCGCCGCCGGAGGTATCGCTTCCTAGAGACCAGAGAGAGAGGAGTCCAAATGACAACTCCTGCCTGGTGCCTGAATCTTCCTCCTCTGTCTGCATCAAGAAATTAATGTGAAAACTGGCCAAGGCCACTGAAACTCTTGGTTATTTAACAGGAGCAATAGGAAAAGAAAAGGCTAATATGGAAAAAGCAGGTACTGAGCTATCTGAAGGCATGAAGACCAAGCTGCGAAGGGTGAGTAAGAGTTAATTGGGTGGAAAGGGCCAGGGAAATCTGGTAGTCTTTTGTTCAAAGACCAGAAAGCAGAAGGGGCATGGTGAGCCTAAGGAACCGAGAAAAGCCTAACATAGGTGGGTGGAAAAATCTGGCTTAAATTTGGAGAGGTGGACCGGACCTTACAGGTCAGAGCAATGATACAACCTGATTCTTGTGTTTAAAAAACCATTCGTTAGAAATGAAAATGAAAAAACAAGCACAAACAAAATGAACTCAGTGCAGAAAATTATGTGGAACAAAGAAACCTACAACATCACTCACCGAAAACAACCAAACAGCAAAATGACAGCAGTGTTCTGGCTGCAATTGCTCTACGTTCCATCTGGAAAGGAGGGACTCTTCAGATCAAGAAACAAGCTTGTTTCCTCAGCGCACTCGATTAATAGGGGCAGGCAATCTAGACACTGGCTTTCAAAAGTGAGGGGCTATAAAGGCATGGAGTGATAGGCTTAGAAGCTTTCATGAATTGGCTTAGAAATTTCAGAATGAGAGGGGTAGGGTAGAATCCCCACTGAATAGTTTTTTTCTTCTCCAGATGGATCTGGTGAAAGGGGATTGGGGTGTGGTGGGCAATGTGGATAGGATTTTATGATTCAATTATGAGTAACTTTTAGCAGGATTAACTGTGATTGTCACAACTGTAATTGTAGAAGATATGTAACTAAAAGAGGAGACGTAGTTTAAGGAGCTCTGATAGGCTGTTAACCTCAAGGTCAGCAGTTCAAAATTACCAGCTGTTCTTCTGGAGAACGATAAGGCTTTCTGTTCCCGTAAAGATTTACGGCCTTGGAACCGACTCCACAGCACCACCACCAAGTTAATCTATCATTTCAGGAACAGACGATCCCAGGACCATCAAGAAAGAAGAGCATGAGATCCTACCTGGAAAAGCGGCAACAGCAGAGATGGTGGCAGAGGTGATGGCATGGAGAGATACAGTAGCTGAGGATCTGGGCTCAAGGACTAAGTAAGGCTGTGTACCTGTGGGCAGGAGGCTGGCTTGTAGAATGTGCCCTTAGGACATTTAAATGTATATATATTTTTTGTTTTGTATATGTGCATCAAATATGTTTGCTGTATTCCTTTGTGAACTATGTAAAAGGGAATCCACAGGGAGAGCATAGGATAACTGTTATTGCAGGGAAGGGATTGTAATCATTGAGACGAAACAAAGTGTATCATATGCTGAGTACAAAGCTGATGATCCTGTCTGTTAACGGTCACTCCATTCACAATAAAAAGTTCAAAAAAATGACAACAATCAATTCATACCTATTGATAATTATACTGGATGTAAATGAATTAAATGCACCAGTCAAGAGACAGAGAGTAGCAGAATGAATAAGAAAATAGGATCCTTCAGTACGCTGTCTACAAGAGACACATCAAAATGATGGAGACAATCTACATGCCCATCAACAGAAGAACCGTTAAACAAACTTTGGTCCATACGCACAATGGAATACTACACAACACTGCAGAATAGGGGTGAATCTGAAAACCAACTTACAACATAGATGAACCTGGAGGACATGATGCTGTGTGAAATTAGTCACAAAAGGACAAATATTGTATGAGACCACTGTTGTAAAAAGTTAAAAGTTTTTCTTGATAAAAAGACAATCTATGACGGTTACAGGGGGATAGAGGAGAGAAAAATTATTCACAGGTTAGAGGGTAGAAGCATGCTAGCATGGGTGACAGGGCAAGCAATATACAACATGAGGGAGGTTGGCAGAGGAAAGATGAAGACACAGGGGGCAATGAGAGAGTTAAAGTGAACAGAGGTAAATACTGTTAACTGTTGGTACATGGAGGGGATTGATTTGCTGAATGTAAATCTGATGATCTGCTCTGTAAACTTTTACTCAATTCACAATAAAAAGTTTAAAAAACAAAAATGTTCTTGCTTCAGAATGGAGAATAGACTAGAAAAGAGAACACTCAAGGAATCAAGATTGCAGTTTTGGGCAGCCAACTTCTTGTGACTGGGGGTATACAAGTAGAGGCCACGTGGGTATGGGTATGGGCAGGAATGATGTCAAGGAGAGGTCAAGCGCTGTTGGGACAGGCACCGGGACAGGTAGACTTGCTCTGACCACCCATGTCTTCCATTGCTTTAAGGAGTCCCACCCCACCCCATCCCCTTGAGCCCACTTGCACACCTGGCCTGGAGTCCACGCACTCGAGCCTGCATCCGGGGCAGGAGGCGGAGGCGCTGGCGGGAGATGCAGGCGCGGAGGCCCCGGTGCAGGATGACTAGGGCCTGGGCACGCTGCCCCGCCCGCTGCTGTTCCAGCTGCTGCCAGCCCTGCTCCTGAAGGAGGACCTGCGGGCAGAGTATGATGGGGGAGCCTTCCCCACCTCCATCACCACCCCACCACCTAAGCTGGTGTTGGATCCGGTCCACCCATAACCTTGTCATACACAGACACGTACACCCACCTTGGTGCCTCCCACATGGTAGAGAGGGGACTCGGCCCCCAGCACCTGGCTTAGGATGGCCCTGCACCTCTCCTGCTCAGAGGGCTCTCCTTGCACCTCCGTACCCAGGGTCCGGAACCTGCCCAGGGAGGGAGGGCAGAGGTCATGCAGGCAGTCTGACACCCTGAACCCCCCGCTTATGCAGCCTCCAAGCCATTCCACTTTGGACATCTTTCAGGAGGGACCAGTCTCTGGAGAAGGACATCATATTCGGAAAAGTGGAAGGTCAGCAAAAAAGAAAAGGACCCCCAAGGAGATGGGCTGACCCATTGGCAACAACAATGGGTTCAAATGTTACAACTGCGAGGTTCACAGGCCCGGGGCAGTGTTTCATTCTGTTGTGCATAGGTTCTCTATGAGTCAAAACCAACTTGACGGCACCTAACGAGAAGTCACTCAACAAGGAACCCTGGTGGCGCAGTAGTTAAGTGCTTGGCTGCAAACTGAAGTCAGCGGTTCAAACCCACCAGCTGCTTTGTGGGAGCAAGTTGTTGCTGTCTGCCTCTATAAAGATGGCAGCGTTGGACACCCTGTGGGCTGTTCTACTGTGTCCTATTGTGTCTCTGTGTGTCGGAATTAACTCAGTGTGTTGTTTTATTCAGCCACTTAAAAGAGAGTTTTAAGCACCTACAATGTGCGGGATATTGGGCAGGTGGGGTTCCTGCTTTCCCGGCTCAGAGGGGAGCTGGGTTATGAGGACATGGTCTTCAGGGAGGTGGGGTTCCAGGTCAGGAGACACGAGACATGGGAAGGTGTGCCACACAGCTTCAGGCTTCTCAGCACACCCCGGAACACATTGGGAGCTCAGTGTATGCTGAGGTGAGGGAGGGGGTAATGAATGGTGAAGGGAGAGGCAGGTGGAGAGATGGGAATGGGAGAGAGAAAGAAACAAGTGAAAACAGGGGAGGTGGGGAGCGTTGGGTGATTGGAGGATTGGGCGTCAGACCTAGGGTCCCTGGCAAAGGAAACCCAGGCACGTGGGTACCCGACCACTCCATCCTGGGTCTCTACCTGGCCAGAAACATGTGGAAGTGCACCCGCATGGGGAAGTTAATGCTACGGGTGCGTATGGTCTCCAGGGTGTCCGCCTGGTGCAGCTGCTCTGCCACATGTCTGACATCAAAGAGGTCTGGAAGCTGGGAGGGTGGGGGAGGCGCGTGTGAGGGCAGAGCCAAGGGGAGCAGGAGTCAGGGCCAGGTTCAAGGGCTTAAGGCTGTGACGAGTGGGGCAGGACATAAAGGATGGAGGAGAGGGGACAACAAGGGCAGGCTAGGGGTGGGGGCGCTGAGAAAGGAATAGGTACTAGAAAGCTCACCTTTCCGGGGTTGGGGTTGAGGCACTGGATAAAATAGATGTGACTCCTGGCGGGTGGAAGGGGAATCACTTGGGTACTGGCCAGTCCCCCATCCACTTGCCTGGGGTCAGGTGAGGGACAGTCTCACCTGCGCAGCTGAGCTAGGAGCTTCCCCAGTGATTGCTGGAAGCGAGAAGCCAACGTGGGTCTGTCCTGCCTTTCCCCCAGTTGGGGTTCTACTTCCTGGAACAGGCTGCCTACCAGCTGTGGGCAAGGGGGGGGGCTGGACCTAGATTCCAACCTGCCCTCCTCCTCCACAGCCCTGGGGGTAAGTCCATGGGCAGGAAGAGGGGTCAGGGGACAGTGTAGGGTGGGTGGAGTCTGGGAGGGCAGGCAGGCCACCTGGAGCTGGCTCTGGTCAAGCATTTCCACCACAGCAGGGTCAAGATGGTCCCGGTTTCTGTTTAAAAACTTGTGAACCTGCAAGACACCATGTGGGGAGGGGGAGAGGTGCCAAGGAAAGAAGACTGGGTTTGGAAGCTTTTGTCTAATAGACCACCCTTTCCCACTGGTTTAACAGACCACCTGGGTCATTTATCTGATTCCTCAGACCTTTGTGTTCATTCCACCGATCAGTCCATTCCTTGCCAACAACATACTCTTCTAATTACTAGTGCTTGAAAGTATGTTTTAATGTTGGCTAGCACAAAATTCTCCTAGGAGTCCTGGTGTGGCACTGCAGGATAATGAACTGGACCACAAAGTCGGTTTAAACCACAAGGTCGGCAGTTCACACCAGCCACACCTCAGAAACCCTTTACAGGGTTGCTATGAGTCAAACTTGACAAGCACAAAATCCTCCTTAATCTTCTTGATTTTCAATATTTTATTGGGTATTCTGATACATTCCTTCTCCATATGAAAAACTTCAAAATAATTTTGTCAAAACCCATCCCCTCTCCTCCTAGAAAAGGCCCAATGAAATATGGATTGGAACTGTTATTACTTTTCTAGATTAACTGAGAAAGAATTGACAACAAAAAGGATCCCAACCAGAAGGCATTTTGCCTCCCTTTTTAAAACCTTCTTTTGTGACTTTCAGTATAGGTTCATAGCTGTCTTTTATTCAAGCTCCTGTCGTGTTCAGGGAACTCCTAGGTAGCTGTAGTTTTTATTCTACAACCAGAGAGTACCACACTTACCGGAGTGCCTCGCCTCAGCCTCAAGTGAGTCCTATTGTTTACATGAAGATTCTCCCCTGAGTAGGTCTCCTCTGGGGCTGTGCACCCACTCCCCCCGGTAGACATAGAGCTCAAACTGGGGGATGGGAAGTCTACTCAGACTTCTAGGACAAGATGGCGGGGTAGGCAGGTGGACCAAGTAGACCCTCTGCAAGGACACGGGAGACCAAGTGAAACTGGCAAGGATGGTGATTCTGGAACCTTGAACTTCAGAGGAAGGGATAGAGAGGTGGACTGAGTGCTGGCTGGGAGAGGAAGCTGAGCTAGAGTGGTGGGAGAGGAGGCAGATGACCATCTTGAGTTGTAGCAGGCAGTTGTCAATTAACACAGCCACCTGAGGTTGGTGGCAAGGGGATTATAGTTCTCTTTTGTTTCCTGTCCCCTCCTGGTGTCGAGGAGCATGGCCAGTCCTTGCTCTTGCCCACACAGTGGCCAGTGGCAGCCCCACATGCAGCCTCTGGGATCAGGCACCAGGTGTCCCACCCCTGGGTCTGGAGGCAGTGAATTTTTGTTGCTAATTACATTATGACGCTCCGCGGGAGAAAGATGAGGCTTTCTACTCCCGTAAGGATTTATACCCTCGGAAACCCTGTACAGGGTCGCTATGAGTCGGAACTGACTCGACGGCACTCAACAACAACAACAACAACAATTACATTATGATAAATGAAGAAAAGACTGAAGTTGTTAAAGACTTCATTTTGTTTGGATCCACCATCAACACTCATGGAAGCAGCCGTCAAGAAATATGATGTATTGCATTAGGCAGATCTGCTGAACAAGTGTTGAAGTGTTGAAGAGCAAAGATGTCAGTTTGAGGACTAAAGTGCGCCTGACCCAAGTTTGATATTTCAACAGTCTCATATGTGTGTGCAAGTTGAACAAAGAATAAGGAGGAGTATAGAAGAACTGAGTTATGGTGTTGAAAAAGAATTTTAAAGGTACCATGGGTTGCCAGAAGAACAAACAAATGTCTGTTGGAAGATGCACAATCAAAATGCTCCTTAGAAGCCAAGATGACCAACCTTCATCTCTCATACTTTGGACATATTATCAGGAGGGACCAGTTCCTAGAGAAGGACATCATGCTTGGTAATGTGGAAAAGAGGTAGACTCCCAACTAGACAGATTGGCACAGTGGTAGCAGCAATGGGCTCAAACACAACAGCAATTGTGAGGTTGGGGCAGGAGCAGGCAGTGTTTTGTTCTGTTGTACACAGAACAACTTGACAACTTGACAGTACCTAACGATGACATCAAATTACTTGTTTGGGGGAGACAGCAATTGTGCCCATAGGGTCCAGTCACATCTTTGCCTCCTGCAGTTCCATTCACTGGGCAAGCAGCGCTATCCATTCCTGTAGCACCTGATCAAAGGGAATTGTCAGCCAACATCAGACAAACTGGCTCTACATTACAGAACCAGCAGAGAACTGTGTGTATATGTCTGGTATTCATCACATCCACCAGGAGGCAGTGGTGAGCGCCTAGGATCAACACCAACTTACACGCATCAATTAAATATAAATACAATAGTACCACAATGTCTTGGAGACGACGTGCAACTTCAGCTTACAAGAAGAAATAAGACAGAGTGTCTCAAAGAAGTGACCAAAATACAGTCTGAAAATATAAGACCAGAAATGGTATCAGAACTACTTGATAAGGAATTCAAAAGAATGATATTAGGTATCTTCAACGGACTGAGTGAATGATCAAGAAAGCTGTAGATGAAAGCAAAGAGAACACAAAATAAAAACTCCAGAAAATTTCAAGAAAACTGTACAAACTGATGAAAGAAATAAAAAAATTAGAAGCCATACAAAAAACAGCAAGTAGAAATTCAGAAGATTAAGATAAGGTTTCAGAATAGCTGATACATTCAAGGGGCAGAGAGCCAGAATGAATGGAACGTTGAATTGGTGAGCTTGACAATAAATCTTTCAATATTCCTACTCACAGCGACCCTAGTAGGACAGAGCAGAACTGCTCTGTAGACTCTGGAGGTTGTGAGTCTTTAAGGAAACAGACGACTTCATCGTTCTCCCTCAGACTGGCTGGTGGGTTTGAACCACTGACTTTTTGGTTAGCAGCCCAATGCTTAACCCACAGTGCCATCAGGGCTCCAGGGAGGGACACATGGCCAAGTCCTGGAAGGGGACTCTCCTCACTCTGTTTTCTCACTTGTCCAGGTGACTCTGCCTCACTGATTTTCTCTGTGGTGACAAATACCTGGTAGGTGACAGTCCCAGCGTAATGCCGCACAGTGAAGATGGGCAGGGGCAGCTGAGGCTTGGCATAGAATGGGTGGTCACCATGGTGATAGTGGCACTTCTGAAGGAAGGTGTGATCCGTGGCCTGATGGACAGACAGACATGCTTCTTTCAGATCTTCGCACTGGCTGTTCCCTATCTGGATTGCACTTTCTTCTAAAGACCCCAGGTACCGTATATCTTTTAATATAAGGTGAGGGTTTGTATTGTTTTCCTCAAAATCAGTTACTCCTCACAGAGAGAACAGTCAGTACCTGAGTCTTTGGAAAGGGTCTGCACTCCTCAGTGGCTTTATTTTGAACAACCAAGTACGATTTGAGAAATACACACTAGCGTTAGAAACCACCTCACTCAATACTAGGTCCCTGGATAAAAATTAGAGAAATGAAGGAAAATTGTTTGTCCCTAACTGCTTGGTTGGCCCTGAGCTTCTGGCATTGTGTGATTGTGTGTGCCTGCATGTGGCACTGCCTTCTAAGACAAAAACAACCCTTGCCACCAAGTTGGTTCTGACTCATAGCGACCCTGTATGACAGAGAACTGCCCTATAGGGTTTCCAAGGCTGTAATTTTTACAGAACTAGACTGCTGCATTATTCTTCTTTGGAGTGGCTGGTGGACTCAAACCTCCAATGTTCTGGTTAGTAACCAAGCGCTTAACCTCTCTGCACTACCAGAGATGGGAAATTTGGGGAACAGGTAAGGACAATGGTCGTACAACATATGAATGTAAAAAGAATGTCATTGAATTGTACGTGTGAAGAATGCTGGCCAATGTTTTGTTACGTATTTTAAAAAAGGAAGGATAAGGATGAGGAGGACTTTTAGATTTAGCAATTATTTCTAGTGTTTATAAACAAGATGTGCTTATAAGCACATCTTTCAAAGTTCACTATTTAAAAGCAGTCCAGACAGAGGTTGTCTTATGGGTAAAATGAACCTATAACAAAATGCATGAGGAAAACCCGGGATGGGTGGGTGATTAAAAAAGGATCTCTCAGACAGAAAGGATGTGGGAGAAAATTTTAGTAAAATTGTATGAAGTGGACGGCTGGGAAAGTAGTAATTTCCAAACCAACACACTGCGTTATCCAGAAGAGATTTCATGTATATCTGAGTAACTAATAAATGCAGTCCTGGGTGGTACAGTTAATTCACTAGGCTGCTAACTGAAGAGTTGGAGGTTCGAGTCCACCCAGAGATAGCTTGGAAGACAGGCCTGGCAACGTACTTACAAAAAGTCAGTCACTGAAAGCCCGCGGAGTACGCGGTTCTACTTAACACACATGGGGTCGCCATGATTCAGAGGCCACTGAATGGCCACTAGTTATGTTCTGTATGTAAACTATATGAATAAATGAAATATTGCTACCACATGTTCGACATCCTTTGGTAAAAAAATTCTTTTCTTTTTTAATCTCTCATTGGAAAATTTGGGGACCACCTTATATTCAGGATCATGAGGTATTTTTCTTCTAACAGCAACTCCTGCACTGGTTGGTCACAATAGAGCAAAAACTCAGTCTCAGCTCCCAGGAGCGACCCAAGGCTCCCTTCTCCTCCCCCTCCCCCACAGAAGCCATACCACATGGGATTTTATAAGTGTTCTGTGAGTTGACTTGTCTTGTCTTAATTTTTGTCTCCGGCTATACCCAGAGATCTGAGCGGGGAGGGGCTGGGTCTATATATGCTCACCTGTATCCCTAGCACAGTCCCTGAAATACATCTTCATTCATTCACTCATTCATGGATTCATTCATTCACCCAATCAATATTTGGTGAATCCTTAATGTATGGCAGGCATTCTAGATAGTGTAACCCTTTCAGACAGGGATGCACAGCCTAGCCCAGGAGAAAGAGTGAAATGTATAAAATTGCACATGGATACATGCCAAAGTCGGTACTAACTCATAACAGCCCTGGATGGGGTTTCTTAGGCAGTAAATCTTTATGGGAGCAGAAAGCCTCATCTTTCTCCTGCAGAGCGGCTGGTAGTGTCAAATTGCTGACCTGCAGTTAGCAGGCCAATTTGTAGTTCACTACACTACCAGAGGAGCTCTGGTAGTGTAGTGGTTACGAATCGGGCTGCGAACCTAAAGGTCAGCGGTTCGAAACTACCAGCCGCTCCGCGGGAGAAAGATGAGGCTTTCTACTCCCGTAAAGATTTACACCCTCGGAAACCCTGTACAGGGTCGCTATGGGTCGGAACCGACTCGACGGCACTTAACAACAACAACACTACCAGAGCTCCTCAAACAAACATGTTGTTGTTATGTGCTGTGGAGTTCGTAGCGACCCTGTACAGGGTTTCTGAGGCTGTAAATCATAGCGACACTGTACAGGGTTTCTGAGGCTGTAAATCTTTACGGGAGCAGAATGCCTCATCTTTCTCCCATGGAACAGCTGGTAGTTTCGAACAGCTGACCTTAAGGTTCACAGCCTGATTCGTAACCACTACACTATCAGAGCTCCTTCAAACAAACATGAGTGCTATAAAAATATAAAGGAGAGGCTGTAGAGGAACTGGGGGAACCATTTAGGTAGAAGGGCAGGTGGAATGGATGCACCCTGGCCTTGAGTCTGCCCCCTACTGGCTGGAGGCCTGAGTGGCACCGGGCCACATTTGGCATCTGCACCACAGCCAACCCTGCCTTTCAGTACCATTGCCCCCTCTGCAGCCAGAGATGCCACGTATCTTATCTTGTTGACAATCATCCAGAGATGGGCTTTGAATCAGGTCCGCAGGAGACCAGGACTTTCTACTGCCTTCCTGGGCTGTGTTGAGGGGCTGTGGGCAGAGTCTTTGGGTCCCAAAACCTTGTGACTGTCCTGGGAGACCCTGCTGGGCATCCTGTCCCCACCAGTTAGGGGGTCATTGCTCCTGGCCCTCACCTGGGACAGCCGTGTCTGGGCATCCAGGATACTCAGGAGGCTGTGGGGCTGGTCTGTGAGGAGGTCCAGGCAGGACTCCCGTGGAGTCTGGGGGACAGGCACCCAGGACAGCAACTCCTGTTTACACTCCTCCTGGGAAGAGCCAGCACTTGACCTTAATAGAAGAGCCTGTACACATTCCCATGGCCCTCGTCTGAGCACAGCGCGGAGGGCTCAGGACACTCACAGCAACAGGACTTTAGGAACGAGTCCGGGGCTCTTTACTAGGGTGCCCCCTACCCACATCCATGCCATCCAGCCTCCTGTACCTGCTCCTGGGTGAGCAGCATCTGGCTGGCAAAGAGCTGCAGCCGCTCGCTGGCTAGGTTACTGCACAGTTGTTCCAGGCTGTTCACCCGCAGGGCCTGGGGGTGAGTGGGCAGTGAGGTGGGGACCCTGGGCTGGGATGAGGGACAGACATCCCGGCCTGGTGCCCTTCATTCCCCTGCCATTGGGCTGCTCTTTCCTCTCCCCAGGGGCTCAGGGAAGGGTGGTGCCCAGGGCAGATGCTGTGGCCAACAGCCAAGTGCAAAGGCCCCTGTGCTGCCCTAGAGACACTCCAGGCTCCCTCTTACAGTCCGCACCCCGTCTTCTTCACCAGTACTATTGTGAGCCTCCGGGTCTCTGGTTGTGGGCATCCTGAAAGGCCTTCTTCCTACTACCTATCAGTCTATCAGAAGTGTTTATTCTCAAAAGCAGGATCCAGGGTGCCTCCTCCAGGAAGTCTTCCAGCATTCCTCCCCCAGGGACTATAGATCCTTCCTCTGATAAGCCCATGAGCACCCATGTCAGGCAGTTTTGATACACGCACACTTATACATGACACAGGAGCATACACATATGAGCTCGCGCACATTATTCCAGCACACACACGACACACTTGCCAGAGCCACTGTTTTCCTTAAGAAGGGGAGGTGGTCCCAGAGTACTCACTAGGCAAGCAGTACAGGGTAGGTGGTGGCAGGCAGCACCCACTCAGGGGCCTCTCTGCCCTGAGGAGGCACCCTCTTCTTGAAACGGGGGAAATGCTTCTGAACACTCAAGAGATTTGGGGCACCCTCCTCTTCCCTGGCCTCATAATGTGTGGGAGCTGGGCTGCGGGAAGACTGTCCTCTGAGGCTCCTGGCAGAACTTTCCAGAGAACACATCAGGATGGACACAGCCGGGCAGAAGAGCTACACCAAGGAGGTGCTCAGCTCTCTCTGGACATCTCCTTTAAACCTTCCACCACCCAGAAGGTAGGTCCTGGTATGATCCCCACTTTACAGATGGGTGTATTGGACCACAGAAAGGTTAATTAACTTGCCCAAAGTCACACAGCTAGTGAGCGGCCGCAGCATTACAACCTGGGAGATTTGGGGTGTCCAGAGCCCCTGCCTTCACCTGCTGTGCCAGGGAAGACAGCACGAGCAGATGCGGAGGCTGGGGCTTAGGGTAGGCTCCCACCCTCCCAATTTTACCACAGAAGTCTCGTGGGCACCTGAGCCCCAGACACCCAGGGACTAGGAAGGACACCAAGATCCTGCTTGGACATAAACATAGACTTGGGGTGGGAACCTCCTCCACTCAGTCACCTGCAATGGAGGTAAGAGAGAGAACCCCAAGTTCTCTGCCAGCCTGGCTCAGTCCCTAGAGTGAGGGCTGCCTCTCGCCACTCCATCTCTGCACACCCCTCTCTCACTCCCCAACCCTGGGGCTACCTCAGCCCAGCGGTCACCCCATAGATGGAGAAGGAATCACTGAAGACAAATGAGAAGCCGGCTAGTGGCTCCAAATGTCCTTACAAAAGAGCTGAAGCCTGGGATCCCCTAAAATATACCAGGATGAGGAGGTTCCCCCTGTCAAGGGCCACCCAGCAAGGCCCACCCCAGGGGTGACCTCAAAGCCATAGACGTCCACGACAGTGATGGTGCCCAAGTTGCCTTCCTCTCTGGGTGGTGCCAGCAGACTGTTGGCCTTCCTTTGGAGCCATTCAAAGAGCCTCGAGTACAGGGCCTTGGCCAGGGTGTCCCTGTGGGCACTGGGAGTGAGCAGCCACTAGGCATACAATGCCTGGGCTCCCGGGTCCTCCCACTCCCAGGCCGACCACCACCTGGCATCGATGGCGCTTTCCACAGGCAGGGAGCGTGAGACCCGGCCGTAGGGCGTCTCCTGAAGGGTACAGCAGATGCTTGTGTGGACATTCAGCCCATAGCACACATGAGGCTCACCAGTCTACAGTGATTGGGGTTGACCTGCCTGCTCAGACCCTTGGGCTCACCAGGACTCTCTGGGTGATAGCTCTCTCCAGGCGATCAGGCGGCACCCTCAGCAGGCGGGCTGCTGTGTGGATTTCTGCCCAGCTGGACACGGCTGCCACCTCTCGGGACTCCCGCTGGACAGAGAAGGGACAAGAGCGATAGCACATGGTAAGATCTAGGCAGACAGGAGCCTGAGAGATTTACGAGCCTTTGGTACCCAAGCTAGTCAGCCTGGGGCACGGGAGCCCTGGAATCTGAGGTGCTGAGTTTGAGTTTTGACTTTACCTCCTTACTAGCTGGTTGGCTTTGAAAGTTTCTTTCCCTCATGAACCCATGTTATTGCTACAGGCAAAGCTATAAAGGTCAAGTTACAGCGCTGTCTCCAGAACTCAAACAGAAAACATGCATACAGTGATTTCCACAGTGCCAGATACTTAGTGAGGAGTAGCTCAGTGAGTTAAATGTTGGGATGTTAATGGAAAGGTTGGTGGTTCGAACCCACCAGTCACATCTGTGGGAGAAAGTTGAGGCAGTCTGCTTCTGTAAAGATTTACAGTCTTGGAAATCTAGGGAGCAGTTCATCTCTGTGCTACACCTTCCTCCAGCTCCTCCTGGGCCCAGAGATGCCCTGTGATTGGGTCTAACGCTCCCTGCCCATGGAAAGCGCCATCGATGTCCAGTGGTGGTTGGCCTCAGGGTGGGAGAACCCGGGAGCCCTGGCATTGTGTGCCTAGTGACTGCTCACTCACAGTGCCCACAGGAACACCCTGGCCAAGGCCCTGTACTCGAGGCTCTGTGAGTCACAGAGGGGTTTGTTCAGTTTGGTTAGGTATTTAGTGAGGCAGAGGTGTGGATAGAGTCAGAAGATCCAGGTCTCAGTTTTCCCATCTCTACAATGGGGATCTGCCCATTAGCCAGGGCAGCCCTGAGGTCCTGAGCATCCCAGGGTTTCGTCCCTCATCTGCTCCTGATGCATCAAGGTTTGGTATCATTCTCACTGCCCTGATTATGTAAACAACCTCCACCAAGCCAGCATCCCACTGGTCCTGCCTACAGAGGCACCCACCTCTGAGGAGGAGAAACAGATGTTGCCCAGATGCAGGATGGTGGCCAGCACTGCCCAGACTGCGTCCAGATCCTCAGGGCACAAGCCAAGAACCTGCAGAGCCTTCACCAACTCCTTAAAGTCCTGGGCATCCTCCTTATCCAAGAGCCTGCAGGCCCGGCCCTGCAGATCATGGGAGGGTGAGGAGACAGTGCCCAGCCCTTCTCTGGACCGAGCTTAGGCCGTGCCTTATGACCCTACCTGGTTGACGTAGTAGTAGGTCTCAGGTCCCTGCAGGGAGAGCTGCTCCCGCTGCCAGGGGTCCAGCCCTGCCAGCAGTTCATAAAAGACATGGAAACTCCGCTCAGCCTGGGCCTTGGGGAGAAGGGATGGTTTAGGGAGAGCAGTGGCCTGGCTTTATGGCCCAGGGGAGCTAGGACAAGTCCAGCAGAAGGCAGGCTTGGAGGCTGAGAGCCAGAACTCCTCCAGTGGGTCCTCTTTCCTTTCCCGGGGGGGGGGGAGCATGGAGCAGAGTGGGTCTTACCTGGAACACCACCCTGGAGGTCTCAAGCAGATACTGTGATACAGAGGCTCCTACGATGACCCCACTGTGGGCACAGGACAGCTTGGGTTGATCTCAGGAGCAGCAGCCTCAGGCTCCCAGCAGGGGAACTGACCACTGGTGCCCCTGTGCCCACCTGGGCCCCCCATCACTCACTGCTGCAGGAAGAGGCATGAGACTTGGCCAAAGCGACTGGCGTTGGCATTGAGGACAGTTTTGGCATGGCCAAAGCTGCTGAGCACAGGCAGCACGTCCTCCAACTGGTGGGGTAAAGCGGATCATTCATGCTGGGTCCATGGAGGGGGTACCCCCCCAGAAGCCAGAGGCCTAAGGAGCACTCTCCTTCAGGCCCAAAGGCCAGCTGGTCCAAAATCCCAGGGAAATGGCTCCCCACAGTCCTCACCTGGCATCCTCTTGCCCTCGTCTGATCCTTCTCCAGACTGCTGAGGAACTGCATAGCCTTTCTGGCAGTTTCTGTCTTCCCTGAGCCGCTGTGCCCACTGCAGGAGGAAGGGACAGAAACTGGAAGGGTTTCCAGAAAGGCACCCGTTAAGACCATTCCATTGAGCGATCACCTAGAAGTGAGCCCTACCCTGGAGGAGACAGACCCCCAACAATCCTGAAAGATACATTCAGGTTCCTGGCCACATGTGGTGACTTTAGCTCTTATACATGTAGTCTAGAGCTGCCACCTCATGGTGAACTGAACCAGTATTCAAATCCTTACCTGAACCGCAGTATAACCTGTGAGCACCCATGCTGATGTCCAATCCCATTATTTGGGTATACAGCCAAGGAGGCAGCTTCCGCTCACCTGATGAGGAGGCACACCTCCTGACCGGCCCTCTGAGACAAGCTATGGGCTGCTTCCGCGACAGCAAAGATGTGTCTGGTGGGGAGGACAGGAGAGGAGAAGGTGCCAAAACTAGACATCTAGGCAGCATGTGCCCTGTGGACCCTGGGATGTCACTCAGCCGTCAGGCAATGAGACATGCAGCTGATTGGGCGGTGATGAAGGGTCTGAGGGGCCAGGTCACGTACGGGGAGGTGTTGGGGATCTTCCCAGGGCGGTAGCTGGCCAAAACCTCAGGTGTGAAGAGAGGCAGGGGCTGGCGGGGATTCAGAACAAGCAGTAAGGGCCCCCCAAACGTCTGGGGAGGAAAGCAGAAGGTCTCATCACAGTATGGAGGGGGAAGAGGAATGAAAATTGAAAATGGGACAAGCTGGTCACCACCCACCTAGGACAGGAGGAAGGATTCAAAGGGCAGTGAATGGCCCTCTGTCCCCAAGGGAAAGGCCACCTCTGCGGGCTTTCCCCTCCCGAGGGGGCCATTCCCTCCTGAGGTCCCCACCCCCTCCTGAGGGCCCGTTCCCTCCCGAGGGGGGCATTCCCTCCTGAGGGCCCCCATACATAGATCCGGTCCAGGTGAAACCTCTTCTTGAGGCACAGCAGCACGGAGCTGTCACACACCAGCCTGGGGGCAACAGCAGAGTGGAGGGGGGCAGGGAGCTTGGGGGTGCCGATCTTTGGTTGCTGCAGAACATCTGAGGGAATTTATTCACCCTCACTGAGTCTTATCTGTAAAATAGGACC